ATGGGCATTAAAAATAAGGTCCACACCACAAAAACACAAACCCCAATGGTTATCAATATACTCCTTTTTTCACAGACTAAATCAAATGTTCAATTTCATGGCATGCATGAAAAGAACGAGAGTTGTAGTTAGTATGCTAGTACGTAGGTATTCATGCTTGCTCGAGAGGTTTAATTAGTACGCTAGTACGTAGGTATTCATGCTTGCTCGAGAGGTTTACTTAGTACACTAGTACGTAGGTATTCCTGCTCGCTGTAGTTAGTACGCTAGTACGCTAGTCCTGCTCGCTGTAGTTAGTACGCTAGTACGCTAGTACGTAGGTATTCCTGCTTGTTCGAGAGTTGTAGTTAGTACGCTAGTATGTAGGTATTCATGCTTGCTCGCGAGAGGCTTAGTACTGTTAGTACTGTAGTACTGATGAAAGCTGTTAGTACAGTAGTACTGATTAATAAGCAAAATCTACAAAAAGCATTCATATAATGGGAAGCATACGATAGGCTTTTGTAAATAACTTATGGACATTTCAATATTTTACCAAAATTTTCTCACAGACTTAAGTTAAATAATAACTCTTAGTTTGACATGAAAAAAAACTATTTCCAAAAATTAGCCCTCAAAGGTCTGCCACATCCTGAAATAAGGGTTTGTTTGAAAGAGGTATGTTGCATGATTTAAATGCAAGTCACCCCAGGTGCTGGCTTTAGAGCAAGCTAGAAGTTCTAATACTGCAGAAGGCATAGGTATATTCAGTATGGAGTATTTAGAGTTCATTAGGCTAAGCCAAAAAGTGTATTGAATGGCCGCCCTCCAAATGGTGTTCTGTTGATATTTCTGCCTATTGGTACTGCAGTGATTTATAATCCTCAGACTACTAAGAGTTATTAGCATTGAGCATCTGTAATTTCTCCTAATATTATCACCACTGAATTGTATATTAAGGTCATGAGATTAAATGTAAATGATCACCTACCAGAAAAGCTCTTGATTCTTAAACAAATTCTCATTATCATCATCTTAGGAGATGGATCTTAGGAGATCTTGTAGAGAATGGTGTGAAGAATAATTATGCCTATGGTGTCAACTTGTAAGAGTTCAATGAAAGAGTTGAAACAATGGTCACACTTTTTCTTGCAGGTGAAAGATTTTTTTCATAGAAATGCCAGATGAATATAAACAATTCTGAAAGAAATTCCACTGCTAAGATATCCATTGCAACAATCACTCGTATTCATTTATTAGTCTGCAGTTCAGTATTCATATATTCACAGTCATTCATTAATCACTCCACAGGTAATATTGCAAACCAACAAATTGAACAGCTCCCAGTTGTCTTGTTAGCTCAGTTGGGAAAGCACTGTACCAATATTGAAGTGATCATGGGTTCAACTCCCTTACAGGCCTGAATTTTGGCAGGGTTGCATTCACAATTACCAATTAGCCAATAAAAATTGTCTCTAGAGCAAGGGAAACCACAGGTGTATAACAACAGCTCTTAATTTTTTGGAAGAACACACCTTGATATGAAATGCATTTAAGTCATTATGATATTAAATTTTTTTGGTCATTTGAATAGTGCAAATTATTACGTTAAAATATTGTTAGAAAGAGTTTTGGAGCTTTCACTAATCCATAATTATATTTTCCTTGGAAGGTGATCATGTTATTCCTCTTTACATACCTCAATGTGGTGAGTGCAAGTTTTGCCAAAGTCCAAAGACAAATCTTTGCAGTACAATTCGGTAAGTGAACACAGAATGGTCACTGTTGGTTTGTCAACAACAGAAAAACTTGTCTCATTAGAATCAAGGGTTCTTATTGGAAGCATGTGGTGAACTGCATCACAGTGGTGAAGCATAGTTTTATTTAATGAACTTTAACTTTGCAAGTGCTGATTGCTGTCTCTTAGCTATAGTGTCAGTAGTTATACTTGTTTAACATGCATCCATTTAAATTTAAAATATCTTTAGCAAGAAAGTTCCCATGACAGAGAACAATGTTTGGTTAAATCAGTGTGTAATTAGTGAATGAAGTAGAAGAAAGAATTTACCAAATAATGAAGTTTAGTATTGAAACTTTTTACTTAATTGAAAATAACTATCAAGTCTCTGGAGAAACCATTAATTTTTTCTAAGGTTGATAGTGAAACAATGTTCTTTTAAACTGTTTACAGTTCAAATTGTTTAGCAAAGATCAGCCACCAGATCTTTTAAATCAGTATGTCCCATTTATGAACAAATTGTGTAAACAAACTATTAAAAAAGAGAAGTGTGTTCTCCACCCAACAAGGTGATAGCCACAGTTACATTTTAAAACTGCTTGCTATCATACATGCCTTGAATATCAAATTTCTGTTACATTAATTTTGGTTAGCCCTTTGAGCATTTGGAATAAATACCATTATTGTAATATGCAGGGTCAATGGTTTATGAAGCTAAATTATTTATTGTTTATTTTAAAGTGTTTCAATCACTGATGTGATCACAGTAGTAGATAGTGTTTGGTGAACTTTTGAAAACTCACTGGAATGGCAGAGTTGCTCTCTTGCAGTCAATGTTGTGACTTATGGTTAAGGAATACAATGCATAACTGGTCTTTTGCTGATTGATTTTAGAACAACTCAGGGAAAAGGTGTAATGCCTGAGGGTACATCGCGATTGTCATGCAAAGGCCAGACATTGTACCATTTTATGGGTACTAGCACATTTAGTGAGTACACAGTTGTTGCTGAAATATCAATAGCAAAGGTAACTATGATAATTACAAATGATTGCAAAAAATATCCTGTACTGTGTTAGAGATTATGAAACAAGGTAAAATGTTAGTTCTTGGATTGACTTCTTCATAAACTGGGTCATCCAACCAAGTACTAATGCTTCAAATGTTCCAGACCTTGAGATTATCAGTGGAAAATGTGGTCATGGGTTGCAGAAATTTGTCAGCTCCTTCATGGAAGATAAGGACCATGTTATGAAGAAAACTTAACTTTAGTTACTGAGTACCATTAAGATTTGAAAGGTGATCACTTCAAACAGGAAGTGATTAAAATTGAATAGGAAGTATTTATTACCATTCCTATTCAACATACAAAGGAAACTTGCAATGTGGAAATAAAAAGCACAGCTTCAAAGTTGTTTAGAGGTTTTAGAAAGATGTTAACTGTGGTAATTATAATGCTGAAATAAAGAATATGACAACCTATAATGGAACTTCAACTTGGTTGGGTTAAACAAGGTAAAAACCATTCAAGTACTTCTTTATTTGAGAGGAAAGGAATTTCAGTTGTAAAATTATTAGTAACAGAAATAAAGTAAGAAGATGAAAACACTTGTTGAGGAAGATGCAATGAGGATATAGAGATTGATTATTTAATAACTGAATATTGATTTGGTCAGCCACAATTAAATACAGTTTAATAATGTATATGTGACCAGGCTCACAATTGTGCATGACATTGCAATATTTTTTGTTATAATTTTAGAATTACATCTTCAGAAACTATTTCCTATGATAACCAAATTATAACACACACACAGGATTTGCATCATAAATTTCCTTTAAGTCACACCATCACACCAAACTATTTCCTATGATAACCAAATTATCATACACACAGGATTTGCATCATAAATTTCCTTTAGACTAATCACACCTAACTTCCAAAATTTTAGAGAATTTCCTGCTATTGTTCGATTCCTTATAAAAGAAGTACAGTTAGTTAGTTTAACT